CACCTACCTACCTACCTACCTACCTACCTACCTACCTACCTACCTACCTACCTACCTACCTACCTACCTACCTACCTACCTACCTACCTACCTACCTACCTACCTACAAAATGTACCTACCTACCTACCTACCTACCTACCCACCCAACCACCCATCCTCCCACCTATCCTCCCACCTACCTACCTTTTAACCTCCTTGGTGTAAAAAATCAACTTGTATTTAATCTTCTTGTATAGACGTACTCTTCCAACAATACGCTCTACTAGCTACACGTACACCACGTCTGCAAGGTTGGAATCACGAGCATGGCCATGATAGAAACTATAGTAGGCAGTTACAAGCTGCAACGTTATCATTCAGTCCATGTATGCTTTAGAATTCTTTTGTTGATCGTCTGACATTAATATTTCAGTGTTCCAATCTCCATGTCAAGACAAGAACATTTGCTGGTTCTGTTAAAGTAATCTGATTGATACAATATTTGATATGTATTGACATTAGAGCTGTGTACCTAAACAAATTTTAGGTACAGGTACAGGTACAGGTACACAGGTTTAGGTACAGGTCCGGACCTGAACGTGTACCTGAACAATTCGACCAATTTATATGCTCTTCTGAACTCCTTCAATAACAAAAAAACATAAATAAACTTGATAGTTAAGGTTTATTCTTTGTTTATGGCGAATGCTCAGATATAATATAGGCAAACTAAGATGTTTTTGTTTTCATGAACACACTGTCCTTACACAGGCACCCATTGTTAACCAGCTATTTAAACATTTGAGGTCACAAATAGGCATAAAATTGGTGTGAAATTGTTTAGGTACAGTACCGGTACTGAGGGATTAGGTATTTTGGACCTGTACCTAATCAATTTTTCCGGTACAGTATCGGTACTGCGTACCGGTACACAGCTCTAATTGACATACAGAATTTTCAGATCAATTTTTCATGAAAATTATATCAGCGCCATTTTTAGATTATTGGTAACGTCTTGTTATTGATTTCAACTCTTTCTCTTATTCCTGATATTTTAACATATTTTCTAATGAGTAATTGTACTTTGCCAATTGTTTAATAACGTCTGCTTTTACATTTGAGACATGCAGACATGCTGTCTGTTAGAATGAACTCTTCTGTTCATTCTTAGTAAATATGCATATGAATCATTTAAAAATAATCAATATTACGCATCTGTTGGAATAACCGTTTGTGTTTTCTGATACAGTGTGCTAGTGTTCAGAACGCATCCTATATGTGAGAAGTAGGTTTTGAGGGAGGTTACACATCTGAGTGCACAGAGACAGGATTTTTTTTTTTTAATTTCAGCTTTCATACTACATGTAGTAACAAAAGGATGTCAGGTGGTGACATGTCATAGCCTTACGTTATGTAGTCAGAATGACAAATCTTGGTATTTTTCATTCCAGACTCAAGACAAATTGGTCTGTGTGGGGTGGGGAAGCGTCAGAGCACCGGCTACAAAACCAATATCAGATAGTAAAGGACTTATAGGCATGCCAATAAGTGCATAAGTAAGGGCCTGGAGGACGTCCTCCCGTCCTCCAGAGGACGTGATAACGCATTGCTATCCTCTGGAGAGGATATCGGCCACTGCGCACGTATTATTGGCCATGGACAGCGCACCACGTGATTGCACCGCGCGTACGCTGTGAAACCAGGCACCGATCGACTGGACGCGTTGGTGTTTGCTATACCCAGTATACGCACGCATTTTGGTTAAATTGTCCGAAATCTGCAATTTTTGAGGTGGTGAAGATCGAGCAATTCACCTTCAGAGTGTGGACAGCTATTTGGACAAGTTCTGGGCAGTTTGTTCTCAGGTAAGGATGCCAAAACGTCGTATACTAGTAAACTTTAATACGTATACATACGGTCGGTGGGGAGGGGTACGGGTCTACAACCGTGGCTTTTTGCTGTTTGGGGGTAGGAAGTTTGTAATTTCTTTCTTCTTCTTGTGTATCGGAGTTCTGGTGGTCCAACGTCAATTTGTTTTTTTTAGACCGGAGCCTGTATCAAATATAAAGCCGAGGCGAACCGCCCCCCCTCCCCCATGATCACGACCCACATGGGTTTGCGGAAAAACCGATCCAGTCCAACAGGCGGAAAGACCAACCCGGTCTGCGAAAAAGGTCTGCTTGGGGTCTAGGCCTGCTTTTATAATCCAAATAACCACTATTCAAGAAACTTCACTGTGTTAAGACAACAGATACCACCTGAAGGTGTGGCTGCACATGAAAAGGCCCGGATAGAGTAACCACACAGGTTAGGACATTACACATGTCCTTGCACAGGCATATGTACCAAGCATGAAGGCTGGTAACCCCTAAATATAATCTCCGAGCAGATCTACAGTATATTTGGATACTACTGGTGTTGTTTGACTGCTGGAAACAATCAGCTTGTGGATTATGGGATGAATGTCTATACCGTGTCATAAGGGTCCTATATACTCACCGACAGTTTGAGAGGTCGAAATAGGATATGATCAGGCCTTAAGGCTTGATATACATGTACACCGAGGAACAGGAGGGTCATTAACATTATTATCATATCACCTATCCAAACTCTTGTCATTTTTTCCATCTGCGCTTTGTCCCAACTGGTCAACCTGCTGTGCGTCCAAACACGTAAATTTGTCCATGCGCCCTTATTAGCTACTTCTGGTAGCTAACTGGACGGTGGTACCGCTGGACATCCCACTCGACAAAATCTCTGACTTGGAGTTTAAATTGCACCTCCATTATGACATGCTGTCTCTGGAAAATTGTTTTGTCACATGGAACTGACGTCATTCGAACAGAACATGTTCCATTTGTGGCATTTCGGTCTACGCTGATTGGTCGATTGATGAGAAGTTTATTGAAAATCCATGCCCAAACGCTAATTGCAAGTAACAAACCTAAAAGAACTCTGAAACAGTATAAAATAACTTCAAAATGTACACAATGAAATCTAATATATATGTCTAAAACTATGCATGAAGGGTTTGACTTCTCTTCTGTCATGGAAGACCTAATGTCCCACCTTTTCTAAAATTTGTGGGTTTTGGGAAGTTAAAAGTAGAAGAGTTTTTTGTTTGTCTGTAAGTTTTGGGAAATTGGGATAAATTGTAGAGGTAACCGGTTTGAATAGTCAACTCATGAAGGGTTAATACCCGGCCCAAGGTGTACCAGTATATGGTGAGATAATCTCTGGTCAACCACAAAAAAAAAACACCAAGTGAGCGTATAGTGAAAGACGTGTTATGAGGTGGTTATCGCACCTGACCAGAGATTACTATATACACCAAGGATAATAAGGCAGGACATTAATGTTATCACCATATATAGATTCAACTGACACAGTGATTTCACACCGTGGATTTGACACAAATTCCTTTATAAAATTCCACCTTTGCCACAAAAACCTCTGTTACTTGAAACAAGATGGCATGGACAGAAAAATACTAGTAGACCATTTAAGTAATCATCTGCATTGGCCACATGACATTGGCAGTGTATTACTTTTATTCAAAGTAGATTTCAATACGTTTTTAATAGATTAGTATATACCTGTATAATGGTACTGTCCAAAATTTGGTCCGATAACCACCACTTTTGAGGTTATGACCTGATAGCCAATGGCTAATGGAGCCTACTGATTGAGTAGACACCTTCTGGCTTTTTGATAATGGAATTAATCACCCCTGGTAAGTTTATGGCATCATAACCAATATGATTATTGGTCAAATTCCTTTTTCAGGAGCATACTGTAAATCACTTTATAAATTTCATGGAAAATTGACATGTGCATGGAACTATAATTGAAGTTTATTGCAAATTCATGCCCGGGGGGCTAATTGCAGATTACAAACAGAAAAGAACAATGAAACGTAGTATAAAATAACTAAAATTTACATGATAAAAGGTAGTTGTGTAGAGCTATAGCTATGTCTAAAACTATGTCTAAGGCCAGTAAGGGGTTTGACTTCTCTTTTTTAGACCATGGAAGACGTATAATATTCACGATGGTGCAGGTGCAGAAGCAAGTAGGCAAATTATTTGTTCGCCTTAATGATAATTTGCGATACAAAACCCACAAATATATTAGTACCGCGAACATAAAATTACAGTGAATTTTAAAATAGTAATTGATTTACAGTATTAGGTATGCTAAAAAAATAACTCATGTACCCAGATACTTTTCATGGGTCAGTACAGTGAGCTGTTACTAGTCAAAAAGGTTAACATTATTTGGAGTACTGTAGGATATATGGCCATCGATCTAATTATTTTTAATGTTTACAAATATCTGCTTTTTATCTTCGCCTTTTCCGGAATCTTCTAGTAATGTGATCAGACACATATTTCAACAACTTACATTTCCTATTTTGTTACTCATGCCCTGTTTTCATTCACCACACAGCTGTATTTATTCCTTCATGTTTTATTCCACATTTTGTTGTTTATTTGATGCTATCATCACATAATGATCCTGTTTGTCACCTTTTCCCTTCTGCAGTTTTTGATTTCTAAGTATTTTGCTTAAAGAATAGGAGGATGACACTGACATTTCACCCAATGCCAATGCATAATTGCCCTTGTTTGATGCCTGTGAGGCATACTTTTTTCTGATGTGCAGGTTTTTTTAAACCTGATGTCTACTTGAATCAGTCTATGTACTGTGTTTATACAAGTGCACATTGTTTATGCATGTGGACTTTTATTTTCTGCAGTTATCTACAGTACTTCTACCACCTATGAAGTATAGATAATACATATGTATATGGCAAATTATGGTTTCTGTACAAGCCTTTTTAATTTTAACTTCTTTCCTTTTCCTGTTACAGGTACCAGAAGTCATCACAAGCACAAGGCTGAATGATAGATGTACAGTATTTGAAGAAAGCAGACCGCTGGACTACCCCTAGCCTGCCATGCTGACCATGGAGTATGCTGGTTCTTGCTACATAGGTGCAACTTTGAGAAAAAAAAGGTGGAAAAATAGGTTTTGCCAATTGGTTTACATCCCGTGCAAAATAAATGATCAAATCTATATATACTAGTATTTGGAAAAGAGCTCCCAGTATTTTGTACAGTACCATAACAAGCATGGTGCCTTAAAAATGCAGCTCTCACAGCTGTCAGTTTTGGAGCAGATTACAAAATGTCAAATACAATCACACATTTCACACCTAATTTTAATGGCTATAATTATTGTTAAAATTATCGGAAAAACATGTAATGACCTTGTCGCTCAAAGATAGGTCCACTCGGGTTAAAAACACAAAGATCACATTGTGAATAAAAGATGAACTGCTCTTTATTTTGTCCTGATTTTGTTCTTTTTCCAACACTTCAACACTTAAGCATTTAGGTCACTGACCTCTTACAGATTAATGCAACTGTTTATTCCTACTAAGTATCTAGTACCAACCCTGAAAGGAACTAGAAATACTAGTAGTCATACCTTCAAGTATCAGAGTTATCAACCAAGGATTGAGGTGTTTGAAAAGTCATTCTTTCCTAAAACTACTATCCCCTGGTAGTATGTATTTATATCTATAACTATCAATCTATCATAATATCTATCATAAATTTCCTATGAGCTGGATGTCTAACCTTCATCAACGTAGCTTTAAACAATGTTTAGAGTCAGTTGTTCATGGGTAACCATTAGATGTTACAGTTTGGTGCAATGTAGCCAGCTGCTGCTGTGCTGCGTGCCTACGAAGCTGGTGTGTCACGATTGCTTTTAAGTTTTGACAATGGCCTGTCATCATCTGAGCTGAAGTCGTCTGGCTCTAGCCCTGGAATGTTCTGTTGAGTTGTCTTTTTCTTTTTTGCAGCACTGGACTTGCTTGGTGGTCGTCGTTTGTTCTGTGTTTTTTTCTTCGAGTTGACTGCTTTTGTCTTTTTTGCAGTACCAGTCTTCTTTCCGGTGGTTGGGGTTGGGGAGGGTTGTGTGTTCTGTGTGTCTGTCTCCTCAGGGTTGACTGCTGTAGCACCAGTCTTCTTTCCAGTGGTTGGGGTTGGGGAGGGTTGTGTGTTCTGTGTGTCTGTCTCCTCGGGGTTGACTGCTGCTGTTTCCCCCACAAGGCTTACTTCAGCCCTCTCCTGTCCTGCCTCAGCTAGGCCCTCTGCTACAGACCTCAGCAGCTGTCCAGCTGTTAAAACAACCATATCACTTTAATTCATTTCGAAATAAGACCACACCATCCACACATATCTACAGAGGATGTCATTTATAAAATCAAGTCAGTGGCTTGCTTAACCCACAACAATTGCTATCACACATACTTTGCTCTGCCTACATGTATTTATTACTTTCTTCATGCATTTGTCCAAAATAATGTCCTTGAACCAATAATGACTGTAATTACAATGTACATGTCTTGTGTAATTTACAAGGCCAAAAATCACCTTCAAGTTCATGTATCTTCATTATGGTTAACATGAACCAAATCCATTAGGTATTGCGTGTATGATAAATTTATAGTGTATGACCATGACATTTACCTGTGGGAGTTCCATGGTCTTCGTTCAACTCGACGTGGTTGTGTGCTGAAACCATTTTGTAAACATTTTGGTGTTAAGAAGGATATTGTGATATTACACAATAGTGCAACAAAATGTTCAACTAACCCCTATTGCCCAACAGGGAGTACATCCAAAGATATGTTTCTGTCTGTTACTCAGAGACAGTGTTGTAAGGTGAAAAGAATGCATGTGGTAATTTGCCATGACCAAAAACATACAGCCTTTTACCAATCTAGAATGCAGTTAGATACGATTATGTCAAGCTAGGTTGAAGATGAAACACATTTTATTTCAAATTGCCCCTTCTAGCTTCATGAAAGAAAGGACTTGTTTAAAAAGGCCACAACGCAACCCATACATTACGGGAAAAATTATTTAGAATTTTGTGTCAAAATTTAGAAACGTCACATGCCATTTGCTACCCATGTATAACTGTAATTACTATATAATTACATGTATTGCCTCTGGGCAAGATCTTTCAATTTGAATCTCCAGGAAGATTTGCTACATTTGACTACTAAAATGTATGAAATAAAGCTAATAGAGTTAATGAGGTATCCAAGTACATGTATATATACATGTAAAAGAATGGAGGATAGAGATGATAAGCAACTACTGTACATACCTGGTAAAGACTCGTCTTGTTCTGCAGTTACTGTAAGAAAATGTGTAGTTTGAGTAACAGTTAATCATGGACATAACAATGTAATGATGCCCTCTCCTTTACTTTAGTTACTTTGCTTTAAGTAACTCAACTTAGCAGAAGATGGGAAATGATCATACATCATCTTAGTGAGAGATCTTATAGAGGCATTTGGTGCTATTTGGTTACAGGTGGCCAACATAAAGTACCCCACCGAATCTGCACGGAGAATACACCCAGGCTCTATTGCAGGATCGTTACTATATTCTTTCATATTCATAGCTATCAGAGATAACTTACCGGGACGGACCACAATGGTGTCCTGACTCCCAATGATGGCCCTCAGACTTGTAGAACCCATGTCGCATGGGTTTTTCAGGTCCACACCATCTGGCAGTCCCTCTACCTCCACTTTTCCCTCCAAAAACTTCTTGTATGAGAAGTGCTTCTCCTTTGTTGCAAGATCTGAAAAGAAACATTTCAAATTCAAAATTTTCAAGGGATGCTACATGGTGCATTAATTGGATTGAATAGATATGCTAATAATAAAAATAATATATAATTTCAGGTCCAGGAAAGTTCAGTTTCAAATTTGGAGTCATATTGTGTTTGATTAAGGATGTTAATTCAACATTATGCACAATATTGTGCAATTCATGTTCATCTCAATGTTTTTTGTCAGTGTTTATAGACTTCCAACTTAAGGTAAATCGTTGGATGTAAAAGTTGGCATAATTTTTAATTACACTTTGACTTTTTAAAATTTTGTGCAAGGACTTCAAACATTTCCCTTGAAAAGCTAATGGTAAATCTCCAAGCAGATATTTGGAGGGCGAGACACTATCAAGTTGGCCAGACAGTTTGATACTAGCAGCCACTTAGAGATCTGCTTTGAGATCTGATTACAAAGCTGATTACAAAGAATTTGTCATGACCACTTACACCATTTGTTGTTCAAAATGTCTCTCACTCTAGCCCGGAGGTCTTCGACACTTTCCTTCTTTCTTTCACCATCTGAAAAGTATCAATACATGTACATTCAGTAATCATGCTGGATCTCCTTTATGCTGTAATAATGTAATGCCTATAATACTCTCCTGTACTTTTTATCTATTACATATGCTCTGTCTATTACATATATGTACTATTTCCAGGATGTATCATGGTACACTTAATTGAACAGACTAGAGTCTCAGGTTCTTGGTAAATTATACTTACACTTTCCACTTGAAGCCAGGCTTCCAAATCGTAGGAGCATCTGTGGATTGTCGTCCAGGAAGCTCTCGCCTTTTGGTGTCCCACATGTGGTCACATTGTTTGAGAGGGCTGAGTAGAAAACACCCATGCCCTCCCACCCACATCTGTGCAGCTTGTTTACCTAACAGAAAAGAAGAAATTAATATCATTTTGACATTTGAGTAATTTTGATACCAGGAGAACAAGATTGTGAACAATTCACATCATATAGGTAACGTCACATGTACTGTAGTTCTACTTTTTATGAAAACCTGGAAAAAATAGGAGCAGTTGAATGAAACTTTTGAATATGATTGTGATTTGCGTTGTAACTTGACCTCCAGCTAATGACTTACAGTTTTACACAGCTCCTTGTACAGCCGTTGGGCTTCCAGTTCCTTTTCCTCTTGGTTGAGATCCTCCACCGTTGTTTTTTTGTTGTTCTTGGCCTCTTCCTTCAGTTCTGCCAAAAGGCCAGGATCCTCTGTTTCCAACAGCTTGTACTGTCTCGATGCCTCCTGGATGGCATTTGGGTTCGCGCTTTTTCCTGTGGCAATGACATGAGTAATGGAAATAAGCATCAAATCAGAGTTTACCAAGTTTTGACAGAGAGACCAAGGACTCAGAACATGTTTTATCTTTCATCCAAACAACTACTGGGAAAATCATCAAGCCATGACTATGTCACACTCTTTCAGTCAACCAAGTTAGCAATTCCATATCATGCACACCCTCATGCAATGAAAAAAAAAAACTTAAGCATAATACCTGTCAGTGTCCTTTTCAGGAAGCATGTCCATGGGTTTGAGGCTCTTCTTGTAATCTTGTTTTTTTTCTTGGCTGGCATGTCTGGGTTTTCTTCCCTTTCTGCCTGTCTCCGGATCTTGCCATTTTCGTTTCGAATCCATGTCTGCACAGAGATGAAAGTGGATACTAGTACCATGTTCTTTGTGTGTTTTTATTTTAAGTAAGATGTAGTGAACACTTTTCTTAACCTGACATGCATATCAATTATACATCAATTTGATAGTCTTTTGTCCTGATTTCAAAGTCATCAAAAATCATGTAATTACAGTCTTAAAATAGTTCAGACCAAACCGGTAGCTTCCTTGTTCAGACCTTATAAACGCACATCACATAGCATATTTGTCTGACAACAAAAGTGATCCAAATACCTTGATGTGTCTCACAGGAATATTCAAATCCCTTGCTGCCTCCATGTACAACCTTCTACCCTCTTCATCCTGGCAGTTTTGCATGCCCCTAGCCCAGTACTGTTCGAGCTCTGGTCGGTGTTTCTCCATGTTCATGTTCTTTCTGCAATTGTACATAACCAAATATGAATTCAGTTTATTTCTTTAGGACCTGATTTTTGGTGGCCTGGTTACCGGAATTATTTTAGCTGACCCTAGTTTATGTCCTCTTTGCGGGAGATAAAATAGATCTGGTAACCAGGCTACCTTGTGGTGTTTGTGTATATTGTGTTACTGTCACATACATGTAATTTCTTGTAACAGGACATTTGGCCAGAGGAATGTCCCGCCACCGACGCCACTCCTCTGTCCGATGGATAATACTGACACGTCACTACTAGCACTACCTTGCCACCGTATGATCTGCTTGGAAATTAGCAGGAAGGGCAGCTAACCATATATTATTATATGTTGAGTGTGTCTGTGTAACATAATAAATGTAGCAGTAGTCTGTTAGGTTAGAGTATGAGGGTATTAACATCATTTGCAAATGTTACTAATTTGGCCTGTTATTCTTAGCTATACCAATGGCCTCTGTGATTTCCTTGGTCATATTTTTTTTGCTTCGCTGTATGGATAAAATTCCACAGATCCAAGTGGGTTAGCCAGTGAGTCTAGCCACAGTCTAGTGGTACTCTCCAAGCAGAGGTTGGTGGGGGAAGATTGTTCTAATAGTTCTACATATTAAGTATATGCCCCGTTTTATCTGTCACTGTGCCCAACAACCTCTGCTTTGAGAGTACTTATAGCCTCTACCAGACTCCGGGAAGTAGCGTGAGTGGCAAATTATTCTCTTGGCGCGACCCACATCCCCAGGCATATCAATTTATTCCATAAATTACATGTATTTCGAAAACCACTTCCCGAAGCTTGGTACTGATGCTACGCGTGCCATAATTTGGGCGTGGGCGCCCAAGCCGCTGCCCAGAAATGTTCAGAATTACAAGTCACAGTATATAACGTCAACAAAACTACACGTGCACAAAACTGCAGGGCAATAGGGCCAATAGGTTCACCTAGTTGGTACTGAAAAGGATGAAAACAAAAAGTCCAGAAGGAAGGTGTTTACAACCAACGGTGTTTGTCTCTAGCCTGCCCGGTACCATCCTACTTGTATGCCGGCACTCGCTTCCCTAAGAAGTAGTCCTCTTCTTAGGAAAGCGAGTGTGGGAGCCCCGGCATACAAGTAGGATGGTGACCCTGGTACTCAGACTAGTTTGTCTCCCCATATAAAAAGTGAACAGTGCTGGGGATGATTGACAGGTCGTGATGAGAGTGAGCCGCGAGCCACCTTGCCCGAGCCGACTATGGTCTATTTGTCACCGTTCCCGCGCTCTCTTGTCTTCAAGTTATTATTTCTTGTTTTTCTCATGAAAACACTGTCATGCATGCTTTATTTGTTTTACCGTTTCCGTGCTCTCTTGTTTTTCTCATGAAAATGCTGTCAGGCTTTGTTTGTACCGATTTCTTTCACAATGCAGACTTTCACGTACACGCGTCAAATACTGTCTGGGGTCTGAGCCTGGGGGTCTGGACTCTTTATCATGTAAATCTAAATGAGCGTTTTTTTTGTTAAAGAAGTTTAGTTGAACCAAGGACATTGTGTATAATGTCCTTGGTTGAACAAATTTCTCAGACTTTTTTTGAGTTGCAAACACAAATACGGTTTATAGCTAGAAGCAGATAACGGCCATGTCTGAATGATCCCATCTTAGCCTATATAGCCTAGCCTCTGGGTAGTAGCCTCTACCGGGCTTCCACTTCCAGAGGCGGCTAGAAAGAGTAGAAATCGGCCAAATATAGAGATAACATACCAGGGGATCCGGAGTTGGTCCGGTAGAGAGAACTGTTTGTTGCACACAAAAAAAAAGTTCTCTCCACCGGACCAACTCCTTGGCATGTTATCTCTCTATTTGGCCGATTTCTACACTTTCGAGCCGCCTCCCGAAGCCTCCCGAAGCCTGGTAGAGACTATCTGGGTGCCATCCTCCGAGGCTGGCGGAAACTGGCCCCCTTAGCGTGTTAGCCTGACCGACGGTTGTTTTGGGTGCCCGACAGCGAGTCTTAGCTTTTGAAACACAGGCAATAGTAAAACTTAGGTTCTGAATGGTCACAAGGTTAGAAAAATATTATGGAATACTGGTATTTTGGGAGCCCTGTAAACTAGGATGGCCGAACTAAAGTGTCTCCTGGTTCTTACATGTATACAGTGTTGCAAACGATCGAGAGATACCATAGATTTTTCTTCACTTCCCTCGACAGATGGACAAAAACACCATAAATATGCCAAAGTAAAGTCAGATCTAGTCAGTCTGAGTTAGAAAAAGGATTTGAGGCACCGCGAAAAAATCATGGAACACGACGTGCTAACATAAAATTACATACATGCGCCATGATAGACTTACTTTTTCAAAGTCAAACATTGATCACTCCGTAAACTGTTGGGTGTAGAGATAATTATTATGCTTACCGTTTCTTCCTATTGGATTCGGAAGGTCCAGGCTGGGGTTCGTCTCCTTCCATCATCTGCCAACTGAATTAAACGTCACTAGTATGTAGAAGGGAGATTGCAGGCTCGTACGTGTGTTCGCTTGGGAGTCGCAGTTGTGAGTGGCAGTACAAGAGTTTTTCGCGCCTGATCTTCTGTGCACCGCGGGGTAGTCCATTATATTTCCGGGGTATCTGTGGCCTCCTTGCCTTGAATCATCCAAATTATCATCTAATGGACTATCTCTAATTCACTTTACGTGGTCAAGATTTAATGCAGTACATTACTACTACTTACAGTATCTATATGCACCTGTATACCCGGTATCCATCAACAAATGACATATAATGATCTTTCCCTTGTTCTGGTATCCATAATGTGTGGTCCATACCCGGGGGTGGGGGTGGGGGTCTGTACATGTGAGTGTCATTTTCCGGAACTGGCCTCCCGCAGCAACTGGCTGGCCACATTTCTAGCTTTACATAGCCTGTAGCACCAGGCCTCGGGAGGCGACTGGAAATTATAGAAATTCGACAAGTAGGGAGATAAACTGTTAAACATGCTAGAGAGAGTACAGTCGCACACACACACACACAAACTGCGGACCAACTCCTCTGGCATGCATACCTCTATTTGGCCAATTTCTACTAGTTTTTATATAGTGGCTGAAATGCATTGACGGAAGAGTTGGTCCGCTATTTATATAAAGGAAATCAAACGTAATCGAATTTGTCCAACCAAAGTGGCGCAGTTTGTGTGTGCGTTCTTCTGTCTGTCAGTCTGCCTGCATTCCTCTGTCTGTCTGTGAACAACATAACTCGTCTTTCCTGGTGATTGGCCCAGGCTGAGAATGGAGAATGGTTCCTTTTGCGTTAACGCGTTTGGAAAGTACGGTAAAATCACACAACTAGAACAAACTTTCGAAGTCATTCGCAGTTAACTAATTCATGTTTATTAATGGCCGAGTCGTTGCATCTTAGAGGCCAGTTAGAATTATACGCAGCTCGGTGATATTCAAAGACTTCAAAATAATCTGTGTGGTTCTACGCACGAGACTGACTTACTGAGTGAGAGAATGAGTGAGTGAGCGAATTCGTGAGTGAGTGAGTGAGTGAGTGAGTGAGTGAGTGAGTGAGCGAATTCGTGAGTGAGTGAGTGAGTGAGTGAGCGAATTCGTGAGTGAGTGAGTGAGTAAGTGAGTGAGTGAGTGAGTGAGAGTGAGCGAATGAGAGAGTGACTTGTAGCTTTGCTGTTAACGGGTCTTTTCTTTCTTCTGTCCTCGAATATATTCAATACACTATCGGTCGGTGCAAAAGTGCGGCATATATACCAAAAGCGTTTGGTTTACTCATGAAATAGACACAGTTTTCAATATATAAGCCTGTCATAAGCCTGTCAACAACGTTTTAGTGGCTTCACTAAGTTCTTTCTGATTCTGAGCACATTTTTTATTAGATCATAGCTATAGTTGACTTTAGCCAGTTGACTTTGATTGCACCGTGTTAGTTGTGAAGCACGTAGTTGGAGGATTATCTAATCTCCAAATTTAAACTGAAAGTAACTGATAAATGAATGATCTCGGTGCGGAAATGTACGGAAAGACGGTGGAAACCTTCAACAACAAAACACTCAAATTGGTCACAAAACCGTTTCATTCAATGTAAGACATGAATATAGTGACGTTAAAATATTTTTTCTATATATATAGGCCGACAAGTTTTGATATGGCTATGTCAACTCGCGCAACCACCATGTTTCTCCCAGATTGTAGAATTTGGGTCTTCATGTCAGAGAGGTGCGTTTTCCTTCATAAAACAAGAAGGAAGTGATATTTCTCGACGAAACTTTCACACAAACAGGATACTGTGCTGATCTGTATGTCCTATTAAAGATTTTCTCTTCTGTTATTACCCGACAAGTTTTGATATGGCTATGTCAACTCGCGCAACCACCATGTTTCTCCCAGATTGTAGAATTTGGGTCTTCATGTCAGAGAGGTGCGTTTTCCTTCATAAAACAAGAAGGAAGTGATATTTCTCGACGAAACTTTCACACAAATAGGATAATGTGCTGATCTGTATGTCCTATTAAAGATTTTCTCTTCTGTTATTACCCGACAAGTTTTGATATGGCTATGTCAACTCGCGCAACCACCATGTTTCTCCCAGATTGTAGAATTTGGGTCTTCATGTCAGAGAGGTGCGTTTTCCTTCATAAAACAAGAAGGAAGTGATATTTCTCGACGAAACTTTCACACAAACAGGATAATGTGCTGATCTGTATGTCCTATTAAAAGATTTTCTCTACTGTTATTACCCGGCAAGTTAGAAGTCATTCACGTGCCTTCGATTTCAGTCCGACGCAAAGGAGTCATTACAGGTGGTGCTTATGACTTGTGAAAGCTACATTGATCCCGTTTAAATTAATACATGTAAAATCCGCTTTAAACAGTGGTAGCCTACGATAGTTTGTAACTTTTAATGCCGTCAATTTGGCTATGCGCTACACCGTAGAATCGTTATTTGGCGAAAACCCGTTCGGAAGCCCCCTGGCGATTTACAAGAAAAGTACAGCATGAAAACACGTTTTTTGTTAATTTTGGCAAATTTTGCAATAAAATTGACTGACGATCGATTTAAACGTTTATCTTTGGATAACACTGCCCGCGTGTCATATCACGGTTTAACATATCCAGTTTTCATTCCAATTATAACGCATACAAAATTTGTGTTGATATCCTGGCGAGAAGCGGTGGAACTGCAGCTGATATACACATCTTTTCTCAGAATTGTGCATATTATGGACAAGATATACTATATTTGTTTGGAAAAATACATTTCTGCAGTCCCCATTTACCAACGGACCTCAACAACATCAATCTTAGCCACGTAGCCTTGCATTTGTATAAACCCTTGTGCAGTAGGTGGTAGTTCTATTGGTTAGCACAACCTCATACCCTCGGAAATGTAACCTTGATGAAAGTTGACAAATTATGTTTTTCATTGACTATGAAAACAAAACCATTCTTTACTTGAATTACTTCAGTTGATTACATTCTCCACCTAATGACAGTCTCGTCTATAATTTCCTCATAGATTTTACAAATTTTGTGACCCTAGCATGTTAAGATCACCAGAAATCAAAACCGGAAGTTCAGATGGGTTATCTTGAAAAGCCACCAAGGGGCTCAAAATCTACCATCATTTCAAGGTCTCATGAAGACCTACATGTATACCCACCTACCAATTATCAAGACAATCCATCTTAGCCTTCTTGATTTATTGTGTACATACACTAAGAGGTGAAAACATAACCTTCTCACACTCACTCACTCACTGTCTGCTTTATCTAACGATACAATACCAAGTGTGAATTTCAACTACTGACAATTGTTGCAGTTATTGTTAATACAGACTTTCTGTCATAATTGATATAGGTAAGTTATGATCTTATAAGACATGCAAAACATATGCAGCATGTACAGCTTTATTCGTGAATACCGGGTAGTTTAATCTGGTTTGTATGTCACTGAATAAAGAGATGAAAATATTGTACATTTGGGAACACATCTACAGTAGTGACACCCGTACTATGCCGGTGAAATGTGAACCGGTCAGAATTGACTGATATGAGGAAGGTGAAAGACGGTCACCGAAACGTCGGCTGTGAATAAAACACTTTGTTTATTCTGTACTGCTATATGGTACGCCTGATACAAATGAACTCTGTTACAAGCCCTTTTCGAGTTGATGTTCTTTCTTATAGCTTTGTTACATATAGCCAGAGAAGAACTTTGTTACAAAATGTAATGGAAATATTTGACTGTACTTCAAGAACAGACCTTTTTTAATAATTTCAGTATTGATATATACACGTATATATATATAATCTCTTATAAGACATGTAAAACAACACACACATGACGTGCTATGGGAAAATATCTAGAACTATTTAATTCTTCCCACTCTGAATTACCCGTGTTTGAATCAAGGTATATGACATCCCAAACCCAACACATTGCAGACAAATTGGAACCTTTCATCCTTCACTCAGGAAATGATATCAAACCCAAACATGTCACAATCTTGTCTAATGGGTCAGCTTTTACTCGCATCATATATGTATTGTGCTATATACACTTCATGTTAAGATTTGTTCTTTTCTTTTTGCAATTTGTACACACTGACAGGTAAGAACTTGCTTGCAATAAACTTATTACATATAAATGCACCATGTTAATGTTAATCAAACATATCTTTCAACTTAATGTCTATAAGCTACAACTAAGCTCAGAGCATGCTAAGTATATCACATCCATTGACTATACATATTCATGAAATGTCCCCATTTTGGAATGGTAGCCAAGTACTGTAATCATCACCATCATCATCATCATCATCATCAGACAGTTGTTTCTGCTCAAGGTCAACAAGCTGGTTTTGCATTTCTTCAGTGTACAGACTACGATCTGGCATGTTGTTAGATGATAGATGCATCGTAGGAATCTCAGAAATACCATCAATATGTTCTTCAAACTGCCATTTTGCAGTTTGTAGCCGTCTTTCCAATTGAATAAGGTGGCTGGCAAGTAGGGCCTGTTCTCCCTTTTTGTCACTTGCCCAGAGAGCAAGCCTTGTGCACGAATGCTGTTCAATCAAATGCTTCATTACTTCCTTCATCTCTTTTTCCAGCATCTGCTTTTCTTCCTCAGCACGCAGCTTCATGTTTACTGCATCGATGCCCTTCCTCTGAAGACTATGTGGTACCCCTTCATGACCCTGGAAAAGCAGAAAGAAATACCACAGACATGAATCACAATGATGATAGTGCTCTGTGCATGAACTGTGTTCCCAATTGAAAAAATTAAGTACAAAATATTCAAGGCTAAGCTACACATGAAATGAAAACTGCACAACAATTGGGAAAATATACCGGAAGTGTTATGTCCAAGCTTGTGTACACTTCCCAATGGAGCTGACGTGCCTCTGCAGGGTCTATGGATGCCGGGAACCTGCTGTGTTGGGGTGGCCACAGGATGTTGTTGTACATCTTGCAGGTCTTCTCCAGCTTGGCAGTAATGGTTTTGATCTGCCCAATGATCCTTATGGCAATAGCTTGTCCATCTATGTATTTAAATAAAAGTGGATAGCAAAGAGTACAACGAAGCCTGTGGATGATTGATTGATTGATTGATTGATGAGGACAATTGTCTTTCATGTCAAGTTCTTTTCTAATGTCATTCCAAATCATGGCAATGTTACATGCATTACCCCACATATCATACTTTACCGTATTTGCTAATACTATATAAAAGCAATATATTGATAGGTACCTACAGGTATACCTGTTTTACATGCATGTGTCAGCTACAGTATCAGCTACAGAAAGTGCCAGCTACAGTACAACAAATGCACTCTCTCACCAATTCACTCACACACTCTCTCACTACCCCATGGATGCATTTGCATCCAGCCAACCACCCACCCGCCAACTCACTCAAAATTAATGTATCATGGCTAACATACCTGGGTACTTTCCTTTCAGGGTGATCAGAAATGCCATTTCTGAAGCTTCTCTTCTAGCTTTGCTCAACAGCTGCATTCGCTGTTCCTCATCTACTTCCTTCAACACCTTTTGGAACTGGGGATCTGTTGTTGTCCAACGTTGTCTGATGTTGTGTCGTGTTTCAATAGCCTGCAGTTTCTCCTGCATTCTACATGAAACAAATTGAGTATTAGGTTTTATCAGTACAGGACATCTTTGAAGTGAAAGGTTAACAGTACTCACAGATTCAAGTGAAACTGTACATTTGACATTTCATTTGGTGGTGTAGAAGAAAATATTGCCTCAGTATTATGAGTAATAATGCTATAATGCTTTGTGTTTGTTCTAACTTACCCTCGTAGAAGAGAAGTAGAAACTTGCAGGTCAGCTCCGTCAGCAATGTCCTCTCTAAAATAATAAAAAAAAAAGATGAAAGAACATCTTGATTACCTGTTCTCTGTGTACCTTAAAATACTAGTACCCAATATTGTTTAAGTACATGTACAAACCCAAACTACTTCATCAAAGCCTTATAGTAAAGTGTTAAAGTTTATTCCAACAAACAATAATTATACAGAGATCAAATTTTAAGAGACAAAAGTTTAACATTTTACTATGATTACTACGAACACAGATGGACATTTTAATGATGTTCATCAAAGTCTTGGTGGTGTGTGCCTGTAGTGCTTTTGAATCAGTGAAACTACAACCATTTATACATGTATTCTTAAAGTGCAAAAAAGTTATGCTGATCTACACAACTGTGACGATATGAGAATTCCACTTACCGTAATGTGTAATACCGGTACTCCACTATCTTGACAGCATAGTCCTTCTTCCACTTAGGACTGTCACCTACATATAGATTCATAAGTATGTGGTTTATTCCACCTTGGTCTTTCTGCATGCTTTACATTACAACATGTCCAGATTAAAAGAACTGCAATAATGAAATGGCTTAATTGCCTTATGTAGTATAGTTGATAATTTTACTGAGCAGATTATGATCTACACACTCAGATGACAAGGCCATGTACAAAATGGACAGCTTACATTTGTACCTTCATCAAACACTAGGCTAATACTTGGTGATATATGATATTTCTATAGTTTTTTGCTTGAAATATCTGAATTAATGTTGATCCCAAAATACATATACATCACTTGAAATCAGATTGAAAGAAATTCAATTAAAAGACTAAACCTCATAATTTTCTCTGAAAACAGTTCATTCACTTGTTTATAAAATAGTCACACACACACACACCTGTAGATGAGGATCCCTGTCTTGGTTGACAGGCAGCTGATTTTTCTTCTCTTCTCCACATCATTATATCGTCTTCTGACACTACAACTAGGATGAATATGCACAAGCAAACTACTTGTCAGTATTAACATCCTGACTGGTACTAACTGTTAACTTAACTTGATATATGATATAAATTATTAACCCCTATATGCCATATTTACAATAATAATCAGGCAGTATTAAACATAAATCATGTTCATTAAGAGCTTTCTGTAACTCAATGTAGAATCTAAGAGACTGTATAGAAGAAATTAATATGTATTTACCAGGTGCTTCTGCAATGACCTGGGCTACTTCCTCCTCAGCTTGAATGAACATTTTCTTTGCTTTGTTCATTCTTTGGCACAGGTTATCCTCTGAAATAATGCAAAAAAATATATTTTAATCATTTTGACCATGGGATGGAAGGATACCAATATGTGTGTCAGGGCCCTCCGCAGCAGTATAATCAAATACTGGATACTAAATTTCTGGGAAAATTGTCTTAAAAAAAAGAAGACAACAAGATAGTTATGTTAAGTAATTTAATCTGTGTGGGTAAAAACAATTTGATAATTTTTCCACTGTGTTGTGATTATATTATTGATAATATACTTATTGTTAACTAGCCTGGGTACCATCCTACTTGCATGCCGGGGCTCCCACACTCGCTTCCCTAACATGTAAGTGTGGGAGCCCCGGCATACAAGTAGGATGGTACCCAGGCTAATTGTTAACATACATGTACATTGAAGAAACATTGAGAAATAGAAAAAGAAATTACCTATGTCAGCAGCTTTTCGTCTACCGTAATGCAAAGTAGCATCAGTGAGAAGGTCCAGTCGGTGCGCTGGTGTCATTTCCTTGGTGACACGGAAGAAGGGTCTCAGATAGGACCACATCCTCTCCATGCCCTCTCCATCTGTGAGGCCAAACCCCTCTTTGCGCCGTGTGCTGTACAATAGCTAAAAAGAAATCATAATTTAATTTATCAGTTTTATTTTTTTACTTTAAATTATTTTGCATACAGTATCTCTACACTGAAATAGTAGTCTAGTGATGTAGCTGGGATTTGGAGCACAATTGTTACATTGCTGTAAATAGCATTAAAAGGCATAACAGATCCTTTGTATGTTTTGTCTTTGTTTGGATGACATATTCAACCTAAAATATATACACAAGCAATGGATATGACAACTAAAAACTTTGCAGTTACCGTACAATAGATCACTTTTATTGTCTGTTGAAAAAAAAATTGCTGAATTTCAAAACACTAAAATTTATGCTCATCAAACATATAGTACATATAGTAATATAGTACAGTAAATGCATTACTAGTGTCACTTTTATTGACATATACATGTACTATGAGACGTGTGTACATGTAATTAAAATGATAATACCTGGCAACTGGTGATGTGTCCATAGGCATGAAATGCTGGCACTGCCAACTCTATCTTGTCCAGCATCTCCACTTCTCCATTTCTCTGACAAAACATAATTGGTGTATATATGTATTTGCGTTGGACAAGTTGTCAGCTAAGGCAAGTCCAATAATGCTTACGTCTATGGGTGAAAAAATTGGGACTGAGAAAGCTTACAGAGGTTGTATAAGACAAAGATAGCAATGCAGGATAAGAGAAAACCATGCATGATCCTTCCGTAATAGATTTTCCTACAAAATGTTACAAAACAGAAAAAAAAACACTTACGGGATTAGACAAGTGTTTCTGCAGCACACAGGCAATGTCATAGACGACCTTCAGACGAACATTGCTGTCCTCTTTCAGCATGAGGAGCTTTTGTATCATGTAGACAGGGTATCCCAACCTGGTAGGATTGTAACAATGGATTAGGAAATGCCTTTGCTAGGAATGCAGACAGTCTGATAATCACTGTTCAAAATATCTAAACAGGGTACTGACTGTGAATGTACAGGGTACTGCACTGAAGATTGTTTACAGTATATTCAGATTTTTTATTCAAATGACATCATGAGGATAAAGGGCTAAGAAAATCTAGATGTATAAAGGGGAGGATATAATATCAGGTACAACCAAACTCAATGCAAATCAAGACATCATGCAGAGGTGCAATTTCTTAGCGAAAAAGAAAACTTCTTTGTACAGTATAAGGTATACGAACCTCTCTCCGTGAGACATGTTTAGAAAGGCCAATGGCATCTCATGCCTACAGGCCGCCCCAAACACCCCTGTCACATCCAGCTTCTTTTGTTTATTCTTCGATCTTAAACGTGAGCCAGCCTGAAAGTTGCTGCAGTCCTACAAACATAAATGTTATCATGACATTTTGAACATGAATGGAGAAATTGGAGCAAGCCAAATCACATAGTCTGAATGGATGGAACAATGAGGAGTGGTAGATATATGAAGATACAATAATTATTATGAAAGTCATAAACATGTTCCAAACACCCCTGGATATCCGGATATCTATATGAAGCAGGCTGTTACATGTGACTCACAAAACTTAGGCTGTAGATTGTATATAGAGTTTTTCATGTTACGTTTCTATCATTTATGTGAAAACATCTGTACTAGCTACAGCTTCCTCAACAAATTGTTTGGCACATGATTGAGGTGTTTATCAATGGTCACAAAATCAGGATTAAGTCTTAAGATGTTTGTCAGTGGTAGTGGTCACAAAATCAGATCTTGCAGTATCCTAGTAATTCTTACCTCACTGGGTTTGATGGCATCTGAATAAGCCTCAACGAAGCACTGTACTTCATCGTCCTTCGCGAACAGCCTATTCCCATGATGATGTTCCTCGTAGCTCTTGCCTGAGCTTGACTTCCGTACCAGGCCAAAGTTGGCATCCAAAGTCACAATCTGCTCTCCATCTCTCTAACAATAGTGGAGAGAGAAATAACAATCAATGTAATTATGCATAAAATCACTCAACACAAAATATGTCTACAGCCTGTATGCAAAAGCTACAGAGTATCAAAGAAAAATTATACATAGTATTATTAGAGGCAGTATGTAGAGTCCTGCTGGTTCTTATTTTTCAGTCATATCACATCTAAGAAAAGATGCATCCTATAAAATTATTCATACCTTTGGACATGCTGGACAAGATGTGCCATCATCAAGTTCTGGACATACATGCCTCAATGTGGACGTCTTGTAATGAAAATGGCGGAATTCTGCAATCGGTTCTCCAATCAATGCCCTATACAGGCTGCTTACCTACAATGTATACAAATAGATAAGAAGAAAAGGCTTAGTAATTTGTTCACACCTCAAATAAATAGCAGTAAAAATGCACTCAGGGAACATAAAAACATTTAAATGTACCTTAGAAAAGTCATAGCCTTATATAAGTTACATGTATTAGACTGCTTCATATCATCTAACAGCCTTACAATATGGCTTTTCTTTTACCATTCTGCCTGGACTAAAAAGTTGAAATCAGACATTACAGCCAATGTACACCTAGGCTACTAAAAGTGCACCAACTTTTCAGTGTTGAAAATTTATGTGTTACAATGGAATTGTAGAATATCATACGAAAGGTGCTTCATCTCAGAATCATTGCATGGACCTGAGGCCACTTACCTCAGAATGAGACAGATTGTTCTTCCATCTAACTGCATTACAGAACCCTTCCACTGAGACGTGGCACTCTAGGCTGAGACAAACCAGCCATTCCAAAAGGGACACTGAAAATGCTGTTCCTGGTGACTCAGTTGATGCTGCCCACAACCCAAATCGAAGAAGAGTGCAGGGGTCTGGCTCGCAGTCACAAAAGGTTATGTCCACGACTCTGGGCCGTCCTGTTAAGCAATAAATCAGTGCTTTAGAAAAGCAACAGTGTATGGTTCTAATAATAAATCAGGATCATTATAGTTATAACCATGTGCCCTCAAAAATCTGTACTGGTACAATTTTTCAGGGCTTAGGGCTCGAAATTTTTTGCAGGCACGTGCAAAATTGCAGAAGCTAGGAGGCCTTGCCTTAATCAGTTAACCCATTGCTTTTAACGTCCCTAATTGTATCAAGGATTGTACATCCCTATCATAAATTTGAATCTTTGCTACACTTTTGAGCTGTACATCTTTCAGGGGCATCAATAAAAGTACAGGACTACAGTCTACTACACCTTTTGACTTGCCCTAGTTTAAGGAGTGACTATTATCTTTCAAATGACATTGAAAATCATAATGTCAAATGTAAATTGAGATATATTATCTGGCTTATATTATAAAGCTACTAAAGATATGGATATGTAGCCTATAAAATCTTGAGAGTCATCTAAAGTGTTATATTCACATTCAACAATAATTAAACCTTTCCATTTCTAAGAATGAAAAGGTAAATTACGATTTTAATCATTGATCATCTGGCCAAAACATTTACAAAAAGTCAAAGTCAAAGTTTATTGCACAACGATTGTCATGGGTACAATGTATGGCAAATAATAAAGTTACTAGTTGGTATGTGTCTATCATAATGCTACATATATAGTCAATGGTTACTGTGTTTGACAGAATGTTATAAAGACCCTTTTACATAAAAAGAAATTACTATCAAATATATGGACAGAAATACCTGAATCATCATAGACTTTCATAGTCCTGGTCACTGATTTTGTCGGGCAGTTACTGTGGTTGTCACGGGACAAAAGGATTCTCCTGCTATCTAGAAATGGCTGGAAACAATTATCCTGAAATGTGTAGATAGACATCATGTTTTAGTGAAACAGTCAGGATACTGGTTTTATGCATTAGCAGTAAATAAGACAAGATAATTGTTATGATAATAGCAATTCTTGGGAACACTGGGTACAAAATGTACTACAGTTTATAGGTATCTCAAGTCATAGCAATGCAGTTTATTTGAGTGAGATGGAAAAAATGTCTTCTCCACTCAAAATGGTCAGACTCAAAGCAAAGAGGTGATCATAATAAACAAGATGACCTTCTACTGAGTACTTTGCTTTTAGTCATCCAGGGAAATAGAGTAACATATTTGTAAAGGCATAATCAGTAATTATGTAACATGCGACTAAAATGACAGCAACAATGCCTAGGTGGCCAGTACTGGATTAATTGTATTTTATCAACAAGATGGTCAACATACCTTCCATACTTCAAGCAGATGAAGTGACTTGTGATGGTGCAGACGTACACAATTCAGACAGTATACTGTTGGTCCACAGTCCTGGCATCTGTAGATTGTCATGTCCTCTTCTTGATCTTGTTTGCAAAATGCACATCTCGTTGATGTGGGCGCTGCCAACTCGACACTTGTGGTGAGAAGTTGGTCATGTATGTTCCTCCATCCATTCACCTCACGCTGCTTCTGACGGGCATATAGGTCAGGCTGTGGTGTGTCCTGCACAGGATCATCTGATGGAGGAGGTGATGGTGGTGGTGGTAGGAAGTTGGGTGGTGGTGAAATGGGCTGCTCAGATGTGCTGCAGATTTTTGTGGGGTCCAAGAATTGCACAGATGTTTTTCCGCTGACACAGTTTGTACGATGGACCTTTTGTCTGAACTTGAAACTCCTGGGCCGAGCTTTCGGCATGCCTGAAGTAAGAAATAAGCAAACAATGAAATCATCTGCAATTCATAATATCATATGGTGATAGTCAGAGATAGTCAGAGATGTCTATTCTTAATTTCATTTCTTTTCTTACAACCCACACGTAAGTAGTATGTATATTTCTTGATGCAAATAACTTCACATCTTGGCTGAATTCTGTTTGACAGGGGCAGCTGGCTTCTTTCATTACATGCCCAGATGCATCCCTGAGTTGGTGCTGTTTGATTTTACTACATATACCCCTCAGTGACAGCAGCTATAGCTAGTCCCTTTGTACAAACAAGGAATAACCTACTAAGTACTGTACTTGGTTCCAATAAAGAGTGGAGTATTATATTGTTTTAAGATGGCAACCACACACAGGCTCCCTTCTTATAGCAATTATATCACTTCAATAAATGACATATGGTTATTCTTACATGTGTTTTGTGCCAGTCTGCTACTAGTATTAGTGATAATGCTTCATAATCTTTTTTCATCTCCACAAGACTAATATTAATAATAATTAGAATTCACCATCCTAATCCCATTAGTAACACTGTGTTAGTAATAAAAGTCTTAGGTCAATTGATTAGAGGCTAATATTTTAGTGACTCACAACACGAGGGGATTAAATGTCTCTAGACATACACCTGAATAATAAATCACCTGAGATATAACATACAGGAATTTGTAGGTCAGCAAAAAACAACTGGCCTGCCCGGCCTGTGCCATTTGAATGTGAAATTACCAGTACTAGTTTGCTATTTAAACTACTCACATTCCAATTATTCAACTACTAAATGGACTGGCCCACAAAATCTAGTTACTAGTATCTTGATCGGGTTGGTGAAAAACCTGTCCAGTCTGGGGGTCTGAAAAACCAGTCAAAACAAAGGGGTCTGCATGGGGGTTTCGGACAATGCTTAAGCTAAATTCACGATCAGCAGGATTGGTGACATTTATGAATTTTATCCCCTACCTAATCACAAAGCTGATTGTTTTCAGCCAGTCAAACAATAGTATCCAAATCTAGTTACTCTAGTGGAGGTCTGGCTGAAAAACCTGCCTCTTCAGGTAGTTTATTTAATCCAAATGTTCTACCCCACAATTGCTTGTACATTGTGTTAGATCTGTAATCAGACTGTAAGCTGAAAATCACTATTAAAAATTTCAGAAGAACATTTCCTTTTGGGTTGTGTACTCAAAATGTTTAAACAAGATAGTAGAGCTGCGTATCTAAACAAATTATATGTACAGGTACACGGCTCTAGGAGATAGGTAAATCATGGAGGGGGTATATTCAATATTTCTTTGAGAAGTACAGTCAATCATTTGCCTTGTATTTCTACTCTCAATCTTTGGTTTTAAGGCAATATTATGAAAGATTTCCATATATTTTCAGGGTTCTCCCCAGACGATGGAACAAGGGCGCTGCGCCCTGATACTCCTAGCTCAGCGCCCTCATACTCATTTTCAAATCTAGGGTGTTGCATCCCGATTTTTCTACAAAATTTCGCTAAAATTCGATAAAATTTCCTGATTTCGGGGCTTAGTGGCGTCTATTTTCCCGCCGGCATTGTCTCTGAAAACTTGTGAATGGGGCGATAATCGAGTAAACAATGAGTATTTCGCACGACGCTACTGAGAGAATCGCTGTCATTGGTGGAACATCGGGCGCCCCGCTAGCGTTTTGAAGTCGTGTAAAGAAAGCTAATTGTCTGATTTCTTTGTAAACCAAAGCCCTCGACCCTGATAATAAGTTTAAAATAAAAGCCGATACGTTTACGAACTTATAAACCGTAGAAAATTCCCTACCGTACCGCGACATTATGAAGCATGTGGCGGCCGCGAAAATTC